AGCCCTCGCTTTCCAAACAAAATATGATTTCTTAATAGTAAAGATAGATAATAGCTTCTAGCTCTTCTAGTGGACTGTTAACCCAATTTACTGGTATAGAATGAGATATTATTGTTGGTGCTACCCAATGGGCCGTGTTGTTAATTAGAAGATCTCTTTTTTCTTTTGGTGAGTGAAGTGAAATGTAGGTTCATTGGTTTTGCATTGGAACGGAATATTATTTATTTATTTATTTTTTGTGTTCATTAGTGTATGTACTATGTATATATAGACATATGTTAATACATTTAATTTGTCTAAAGGTTGACCAATTTGAGATTCCTGTAAAGCCTGTTACTCATTACATTTCCATCCATGAATCCATCAACCCATCATCATGTGTGGGCATGGCTTGTCTAACTAAGATCATATGACATGACAACAATTGTTATTGAGTTGTTCTCTACTTGAGAATCCCACTAGATGAAACTTGACAGGATGGAGCTGTTCTCTATCTAAACTAAGCTGATCAAAAGCATTTGAGAAAATGATGTCAGTTGAGCTATCATTGTCAACTAGAACTCGATCGATATTCTTATTACCTAGTGCGTAGAGCCTTTGACACAGCATAGACCTTGAGGAAGTCCTTGGATGGGGTTTTTCATATATGAGCCTTCCTAGTTGAGATGAATTATCTCCTTTCAGCAAATCCTCCAAATATCACTTTGACTTCACCAATGGGCTATGTCTGGGCTGGGGATTGCCCCTAGTGATTCTTAGCTTGGTCTCCCTCTTCTTAAACAATAAATTGCCTAAGTTATCCTCTCTGGATGATGAACTCGATCTTTTGTTTGAGATGATATATTTGTCAGTGTTATGCTTGTGGTCCTTGTGAAAGTTGTAATACTTGTTGTGGTCCCTCTTGTGAGGGTCTAACCTCATTTTTTAAGGCCATTTAACGAATTTCTCATGCTGCACTTGATGCAACATCTGTGCTACCGAAGTTTTCAGGGGCGTGTACTGTTATGGTGCGAACCTTGGTTGTAAGTTCAACTTAGGGAGTCCCAAATAATCTCGCACATCTCCATTTCTCTTGGGAGATCGATCTTGATCCTTCTTAGGATTGGTTTCTTTTCTCTTTTTTACCTTCATGGTGATTTGACACAGGAGTTACGCCAAGCATGAAAGGCCTTTTCTCTATTAATGTACTTCTCATCTTCAATCAGCACATCAGCTATGCTGGCATGAGGATTTTTGGAAACTAAAAAGAGAGACTCTGAAGGTTGTAGCCCAACAATATAGGTTGTCAAAATCCACTTTGTCATATAGACCATCCATCTAGAGAGACTTTTGGTTGAAGCACTAGACATATTTCCTCAACAATTCATTTAACTTTTGCTTGATGTTAATGAGAAATGAGGTCGGTTTGAGGTAAGTCCTCGCTTTGATGAAGTATAAGAAAATTTGTATGGACATCTCCTTAAAGGAAGAGATTGTAAATGGTGGTAGCTTGTTGAACTAGGTCAGAATAGAGCCCTTGAGAGTGATTACAAAGGCTCTGCATTAAACAAGATCCTAGTAGTTATGGACCTCTATCTAGTTCTTGTATGTGTTGGGGGTGGTCGAAGGGATCATTACTTTCATCAAGGCCTCCATCTAAGACATCTTGAATTTGGTTGGGTGAGAGAAATATTGGATCTCTAGAGTGAATGAAGACTTTTCTTGCTAAACCAAAGCCTCCATGAAAATTAGAGCTGGATTCTTGACAATGTTTCTTATATTACTCTACTCATCCTTGACCTCTTTGATGCAGTTCTCCCAATATTGGTTTAGAGAATTTTGATAAAGAGGAGGTTAAGAGACATGCTTCCTATTGCTACCAGTTCTATTGTGAGCCTCATCTTCTTGCTTTACTTGAACTTCAAAAACATTTAGTGTTCTCACCTGAATGGCTTCGATGGTCTTCCTTAGTAAACCCCATTAAGTGACAACTGAGGAAGTGAATGATACTAAGGGGATTGAGGCTAATGGGGAAGTGAAGAGAACGATAAGTTCTTGATTTTGCCTGAGGAGGCAAAATATGGTTTGCTAGTAAGTTTCAGGTTCTTCCACCAAATACAGGTTTGCATGAGGAACTGAAGCTAGAGGTGGAGGTATTTGTGTGTTGGTTTTCTAGGTTTTAGCTTATGTTTCTCGTTAGAATCATCAATCAAACAAGGGTTATGCAGTTTCAGAGCAAAACAATGACAATTGTTCCCACATAAGACACCAAACTAATGGTGTAGGAGATCGAGAAACGTGAGTTAAGCATACAAAGTGAGCTCTACTGTGATGAGGGAGAGCTCTTTGTATTTGTGTGTGTAGGATAATAATAAGTAGGAATACAAAAGGATAAGTGATTCACCAAACCGAAAAGTTAGGTTAGTCCATTCTAATGAAGACTTTTATTTCTCTAGTTTGTATATCTTGAACAAGAAGACAGTTACAGTCTTTTGTGATTACAATTTTCACATTATGGGCAACGCAAGAGTTTGTCTATTTATACACTAAGGTAGTGTGGTCCTCAAGTAATGATGAGGTGGTCCCTTAGTTTATTAGGATATTGGAGGGAATATTTAACCGTTAGAGACTATGTTCTCTAAGTATGATGTGACATTTTAGAAGTTGATGACATGATATTCTAAGGATGAATTATTTTTGCCCAGGGTAAGATTTGGTGGTGTAATGTCTCTTCTATCCTTTTTTAGTGTAGGGTAGGTTTGTCGATCTACTTTGATGACTACTGATCTGCTTTATCGATTGATGAGTTGGATCATGCTCTTCAGGTTTGTTAGGCTATAGTCACGTCTGTCAATCCTTTATGTAGTGTCGTAGATCTTGTTTGTATGATGAATTTATTCTTGATATCATTATATTTTAAGAGATATTTTGATTGTCATATACAGAAATATAAGTATTATAGTAAATGAATTTATGTTTAATTATTACGTACATGGTTTCTATTTGTATCTATTTAAGTTGGGTTCTTTGGAAGCCGGTACACCTAATTAGACTTATTTGACAAAAAGTACATAGAACAAAATGTGAGTTAAAAAAACATAAATACCCATTTTAGGATTATTTAATTCAAAACCTCTTATCTTTAACTCACATTGATTCATGTGTGTTTATTAATACATATAAGTACGTATTTAATGCACTTTTGACTCATATATATTTGTTAATACATGTAAATATATATATATGTGTGTGTGTGTGTGTGTGTGTGTGTGTGCGTGTATATACAAATATATATACTTATTTATACACACACACACACACGTATATATATATGTATATACAAATATATATACTTATTTATATATATACACACACACACACACACACACATATATATATATATTTGTTGTTAAATCTCTTATTTAAATTTTGAATTATCTTTAATGCACCTTGATTCATGTGTATTTTTTTTTTTTTGAAAAGTGATTTTGTTTTCAAATTATATTTAATACACCTTTATTCAAGCGTTTTTTTTTGGAAAATAGTTTTATTTTTAAATTAATTTAATATCCGAATAATGTATAGTATAACAATAACAGCGTAATAATAACAGTGTAACAAATACATTGTAACAAAAACAGTGTTAAGTAGTTTTGTGTATATGATAACAAATTCAAAAGGAAGATGAACTATTTTGAATGAAATTATATGAAACTATATGTTTGACAAAATGTAATAGTACAATATTTTGTGTAAACAACTTGTTACACTATTATTTTTATACTGTTACATTGTTATTGTTACACTGTTATACTATTCGAATATTAAATTAATTTGAAGATAAAACTACTTTCTAAAAAAAAATGCATAAATCAAGGTGCATTAAAAGATAATTCAAAATTTAGATAAGAGATTTAACAACAAGTATATACATACATATATACATAAGTATTTATATATATATATATATATATATATATATATATATATATATATATATATATATATATATATATATATATATATATATATATATATATATATATATAAACATACTTGTTTGAATTTCAAAATTTGTATTCATGTATATATATGTATGAAAGTTCTCCCATAAAACTAAAAGATGTTTAATACACCACTTTTCAAATAAAAGTGGTGCATGAATTAATGGAGGACAAAAATATCACAATAAAAATAGATAAATTCAAATTATATACTTGGATACAAATCAGTATCAAAATTAAATACTTAACAACCCTACATCTTTTAGTGTGTACTTTTTGTCAAATAAATATAATTTGATGTATTCCTTACAATTTACCCATTGAAGTTCTTATCCATGGGCGGGCGGTGCATGGGCCAAGGTTCATGATGCAGGCAGTGTGTATTGAGGGCCGGCCCACGCAATCCGTGGCCACCTCCGTAGGCGTAGGGAAGTGAAGTAGCCACCAGTACAATCGTATAAGTCAGCCTTTTGACTAAAGTCTGGCTTTGACCCTGCTATTTTGATGTGTATCCAATCCTGCACTTGTATTAACATCAGACAGCTATGGTATACGCATTTGCACTAGGGATATGTTGGTCTAAAATTAAGAATGAAAAGGGCAGTAATGTCAACACAGCAAAAACATTTGGGGACTACTTTTCGATAGATACATGACTCACACAGCTGTATGAGCTGTTGTGTACATGGCCTTTATGCATAGTGGGTTGGCATCGCCAAAAATATAGAGGACTTTGTGCCTCTTTTTCTATTCACACTCTCCATCTCTGTCTTCTCTCTCTCTCTCTCTCTCCAGTCTCCACCAGTCCATCTTCAAGCTTATCTCTGTCCCATAAAACACAACCAATAGATTTTGCTACTCCGTTAGATTTTTCAATTTTCAACTTCAGATTCTCTCTCTCTCTCTCTCTATAGCTTTCTGTGGTTTGTTGGGCGATATTTCCGGCTCTATGAAAGTAAACATGAAATTGCATAGATATTGATACTTGAGAGAGAGAGAGAGAGAGAGAGAGATCTGACGAGTGGGTCATTACAACGCAAACAGCTCACTGAGCTGCGAATTCTGTCCGATGATTCCTCTTGAGATCCATTCAATCGGTTTCTGGAAAATGCAGACCAATTGTTCCAGTTCCAGTTGTTTTTAAAGAAGCTATCTACCTCTCTTTACTTACCTCTTCCATCCAAGCAGCCCAACCATAACGATTGTTACTATCCCAACTACTCCCCTCTGCATTTTTTTTCTGCTGTATTTTTTATTTTTATTTTTTGAAATTTTTGGATTAACTAAGGAATTTGTGGCATGCGTGTGGTATGTATATGAAGATTTTTCGTGGGTGCCCCGTTTCGGATGGAATCGCTCCAACACAATTCTGACATTGCTGGTTGATGATTTGCTCGAGTTTTATTAGCCCAGATTTAGGGTTTTTGAAGGCATTCAGCATTGCAACTTCAGGTACCTTTTCTTTGGATTCTGCCGAAAAGCCACTCTGCCTGCCGCTTTTTCACCGGTTTTCTTCCTTTTTGGGACTCGCCCAGATTCTTACATTACTTACTTGGCTTTGGGCAATTAAATATTTCAAGTATCAATTACTCTTGCTATCTGCAATCTATTGAGCTGTGCAATTGCATTATGTTTGTGATGTTTCAAAAGGTAAAAGTGAGTGCTCTGTTGTGATACAACGGTTAAAACTTCAATACTTGCTTTCCAGTATTTCTTTCCCTACAACTACCCTTTAGGTTACGTATGCACCATTGGATTCGTCACCTGACTACATGGATTTCCAAGTCTGTGGCAAGTGATTGTGAAGCTTCTTCAATTGCGGATTCTGCTTTACATTTTTTGACATACTTTCCTATTTTGGATCTGAGTACCTTCACCTCCATATTTGGGAGTTAATTCTTGGGGTGGCTCTGTTTGGATCTACCAAGTCTGATTGAGTGGCGGCCATTGTGCTGATTTTGTGATAATTCTGAAGCATCGATGGGGCTTCTTCGAAGTCTCGCGATGCTTCTCCTTTTGATATGCTGCTTTTGGTTGCCCAGTGTTGTCCGAGCTCAGTCGCCTGGTTCTGCACGGGCACTGGATGCACTTCTCCAAGACTACGCTTATCGGGCATTTGTTCGTCCAAGGACCGGTGTTGTCTATGATGGGGTTGTCCCCTCAAATTTGTCTGGGATTAGTATTTCTGCGATGAGGCTGAGGAGTGGTAGCTTAAGGTCTAGAGGTGTTTCAATGTATAAAGAGTTTGTGATTCCTGTGGGTGTCATTGAGCAGCCATATGTAGAGAGGCTTGTTCTGGTCTATCAAAACTTGGGCAATTGGTCTACGATGTATTATCCTTTACCTGGTTACATGTACTTAGCTCCTGTTTTGGGTCTTCTTGCTTACGATGCTTCAAATTTATCTGCAAAAAACTTACCTGAGTTGGAGATTAGGGCATCTCGGCAACCAATATCAATCAATTTCACTGATATCCAATCAGTGCCAGAGGGTTCAGTTGTAAAGTGTGTTTCGTTTGATTTACATGGATTGTTCAATTTCAGCAATTTGGTGTCTGGGAATGTATGTTCAACATTCCAACAGGGGCATTTCTCTATTGTGGTCGAGTCCACTGCTCCTCCCCCTGTGCCGGTGTCTCCTGCACCACCCGGGGGAGCCCCAAACGCTGGTCCAAGTGGTGAAAAAAAGAACAACTCTAAAGTCTGGATAATAGTTGGGTCAGTGCTGGGAGGACTAGCATTGTTGGTTTTTTTGGCATTACTGGTAATGTGGGCACAGAAGTACAAGCACAGGAAGAAAATGCAACAGATGGAGAGGGCTACAGAGGCTGGGGAAGCACTGCATATGACTACAGTGGGAACCACAAAAGCACCAGCAGCAATGGTGACACGAACACAACCCACCCTTGAGACTGAATATGTGCCTTAACCACTGCCATTTGTAAAAGCTGCCCTCTTCCATTCATTTTCATGTTCAATTCATCGAATTAGGTATTCTTCTGCTCACACCTGTTTTTGTTGGTGTCCATTCCTTAGCTTTGTTGGTTCTTGGTAGGCTCCTGATTGTAGTGTGGGCAATAGAGGGTTATTGTGTAGATAATACTCTGTTACCTCCCACGAAAACCGGTCCTACTTTCTTGATTCGTTATTGGTGTGCATTTAGCCGTAGTCCACAGTGGTTTTATCTGTGTTGAATTTTTCCATGCCATCGACAAGGAATAAAAAAAAAAAAAAAAATTCTTGGCATCATGCTTTCTTGGATTGTGCTCAACAATGGCCAATTGATTTAGATTGATGAGCATTAGATAAAGTTTCACTATGCAAATGGGATAATATGAGTGATGATTTTTCTTATTTTGGTATTGTGAATGTTGTAGTGGTATTGAATAAGATTCGAGGTTCCTCCATGTTTTTGCTTCAAGCTGTGAACATGTAGTCTGGCATGATATTATCATTGGCTGTCTTCGTGAAATGAACTTGCTAAATGAACCATGTGGAGATGGAGCACAGGGTTGGTCCCTGTGGGACATTATGTTTTCTGGGTTGCTTTTTTTGATGATTGAAAAAGGGAAATGATAGGTGGGGCTTTGCTTCGCTTCTAAAGAAGCTTTCCATCAATTCCAGCGATGTAATTCATGCTGGAGATTGAAATTCTAATTCATCTTACACTATCCTTCGGTATGGTAAAACAGAATAGAAAACCCCAGCAACCCAAAATTTTGTTTCTCTTTAATTGTTTTAGAGTAGTTCCTTCCTTTGTTTCCAGCATGTGAGTTACTCTTACCCTTATTATCTGTGTTTTATTGAGCCAAAAAGAAAAAGCCCAATTTCCAATAGACGTGCTGGTGTAGGTGTTGTTAAGTCAGAATTGAGATTGAGAATGGTTAGTCCAAACTCCAGGGTACATCAGAAACTGTGGAACAGTCAGACACAGCCCAAGTGGGAATCCAAGTCAAAACCAAGGGGCTAAACCCCCCATCACAGTTGTCTTTTTCAGCTGTATTTATATGAATTCTCCAATTATTATTACATATGCGGCCTCAGACCGCTAATGGCAAAATATCATTTTCCATCTAATAGTTTTTTTTTTTTTTTATTATTATTATTTAATATATGAAGACCGTCCAAAATTATCATTTCTCTCTCATAGTTTGTTGAGGTGCTATGCATGTCGTGTCCCCCCAAAGAAAAACAAATATGGCTACGTGGATCCAAGATACTAATAGACAAATGAATGACTTTGAGCTGAAATTCATGATTGAAAAGGACCTACTAACCCATTTCTTCATTTATTATTAATACTTGTATTCCACTAAATCAAATATGATTCCCAAACAAAAGCTTAGACGAGGAGCATAAGGAGTAGTTTGTCGGTGTCTCCGTTAGAGAATAAAGATATCTTGTGACTACTTCTATACCCCTAAACAGAACTCGTGAACTTTTCACCAACTGAGCATTGCAACTGTAAATTATCAGCAGTGTCACGAACAAAAATTTTGCAGACCAAAGTTGTAAAAAATAGACACCAAAACTTAACTGTAAATTTGGTGTAATTTGAACAGGAACCAAATTAAACTAAATCAAATTGGACTTGAAACCCAAACAAGCCAACTAGCCAAGTTAATGCCAATGACATTTCAACTTGGCTACATGGTAGGCATATAAAATATTTCTTGGAGTAGAACGGTGGGTGGAGCAATTTAAAGCATATAGATGGTCCTTTTGTTTCAAAGTGATTAACGGGATTTTGAGAAATGGTATAAGGAGTGGTGATGAATTTCTTTTACAAGTATCTGGTCACTCTTGACTTATTGAATTGAGTCCTGTCACTCAAAAAGAAAGGTTAGAAGGGCGCAGGAGTATTTTTCGGCGTGACCCCTTGGACGATTAAGTCAATATGTGAGAGGGGTGTAAAATTACTGTTCTATTCCTTGGGTCATAATTTGTGTACCTTTGTTTCAAGTTTGTGAGAGTTATTTATACCTCAATGAAGCTAATCCTGACGGATAGGTGAATCCCCTAGAAGGAAGACTCCTTATTAGCCCATACAGAAGGCGACCTGTGGTGCACAATCTTCGGGCAGAGTGCCTTCGTTGTCATGTGGAAGGAAGTTTTTTGCATTTAATGCTCGCCCTCCGAGGTCTGCTGAACAATAAATGTGTTCCATCCTTCTGAAAGGTCATTTAATATTTTCTCGTGGACCTAGCGCACACGTAGTTGTTGTTCATGCTCTGCCGACATGGAGGATTAGGCGTCGAGGTGACGTATCTAATGGTGGTCCCTTGGGGTGGCATATACACCAAGGACATGTGTCGAGTTGCTGGGTGTCCGAGGCATTTGAGTCAAGGACACGTGTCAATGTACGAAAGCGTTCAGGGATGCAATGCGCCGAGGACACACGTCAATCACAGAGAACTCTGAGTGAGAATATGCTGATGACACGTGTCAATGCATGGAACATCCGGGATGCAACGTGTCGAGGACATGTGTCACTTGTATGGAGCTTCGAGGGAACCCATGACGAGAACACATGTCAAACCAAGGAGGTTCCACATCTATGATGCTGAGGCCATATGTCGGCTCTCTATTAACTTATGAAAATGTCCCATCACCTATTCATTTGTAGATGTTGGACTCAAACAATGGTGAATACCTATCTGCCCAAAAGTTACTATCTTAGTTGGTTGGCATGGCTATGACATGCGGGTGCCTCATCCAAAAGTGCACCATGCCTTATTCAAGGTTTGGGTGTGCTTGACCAAGCAACTCCTTTGTATAAAATTGGCTTCCTAAAGACTTGGTTGGGTACTTGGTTTGGTATCAAAGATGTTCGACAAATGTTCAAGTGGCATGCAATGACTATGTTCCGGCTTTCATCGTCATGACTCCTTGGTTCAAAAGATGTTTGTTGTTGTCATTAGGATTTTGCTCACTAACGCTATTATAGGGGGTCCACGAAGGGGTGTCATTCTGACTTCCCTAGGGACTCCTATGCCCCTTATGCCTTGGCTTACCAAAGCAAGGTACAACCCCAACAAATACTTGTCATGAGTGTAAACAACGTATTCCAAAGTCTAAGATCCGAAAATGTGGGGCCGATGATCTGTGGGACCTGTTGTTGGTGGAAACCTTATGCATGGTTGAGGAAGGCAGGACATGTATGGGTATGTAGGGCATAAGCAGGCAAGGAAGGCTAGTTGTGTGGGCTCAAATTGTGGTGCATTGCTAGCTTGAAAGACCAAGTTATGGGCTGGACATGGCTTGTCACACAAGCAAGGGAAAATCAAGTGTTGTTGGCTCACAAGGGAGGCATGTGCACATTATGTGAGGCAGTTCCAAGTAGTTGAGACATGTGCACTGCATATGGTGACGGTTCCGAACGATTGCTGACATGTGCACAACATGTAGGGTAGTTCTGTGTGGTCATTGACATGTGCACAACATGTAGAGCGGTTACGAGCAGTTGATGATGAGTCAATCGACGGTTACAACTACTCCTGCTACGATTAGCACTTTGTGGAGAGTGGCGGAAGGACTTAGCCATGTGCAACAGATTGTGGGGGAGTGCCAGAACCACCCACAATCCTTGGGGGCAAATTTGATTGGTGCCTGCAATCCTAGTAGTTGGGGATGTCCACTGTATGGTTGAGGTTGAGTTGGCGACAGCCAGATGGTATCAGCATTGCCTAGGCGATTGGGCTCGTAACCACCATTGTATGCTTTAAATACACATGCTGGGGGTCTGTAGTATGAACACGTTTTGTAAACAAGACCCTAGCCAAAATCCTTTAAACTTGTTGAAAAGTAAAAATATTTAATCATTTAGATTGTAATCTTTTATGTTTACTGTATTTTTGATTTTTGTCTATATTTTGTTCGATAGTTTGTTTATGTGAGCAATTGTGTGAGTTTGACTGAAATTGAGTGTGAAATCTAAGTGCCAGCACAAGATAAAATTTCGAGTAAAATTTGAACCCCATGACACCAAACAATAATGCGTCAATTCAAGTCAGTGAATCAGTTTCTCTCAAATGGGGTAATACTATCTGTTATTTATCTCTCTAAAATCTTTTCAAATAAACGGACACCTTGTGCACTAGCTGCAAGCTATCCATTTATCCGATGCCAAATGATTACAGGGTAAACAAGCAGCAGAAGTACTTGAAACTCCCGGCGAAAATGTGCTAGAAAGAATGATGACGGCACAGGATCTGTGTGTTTTGCACCATATGACACTGATGTCCTCAAACCAATAATTGCTTGCTATATGCAACTTCTTAAGTTCAACGATAAATCTTCAGTACTTTGGGAGACACTACTCCTCTAAAGAGATCAACTCTACCAACAATGGCATTATCTCCGGTTGCTGTCAACGAACAACATTAATGTCGCCCAACTCAAACCGCACCCACCCAAATTGATCTTTTCCAAGTCGTTCTCAAGAGGAGAGCTCCTGCATAATTCATGGCCCATTTAAGAGGAAATTTCAACTGCACATAAGACAACTTTCATTCTGTCAAACATAAAGTCGTTTGCCCAAATTCCAACTTTCACACTCGTAGAATAAGAAGCCTAATAATGAAGCCGACACTGACCCTTTATTATCATACGGCCCAGGTGGGAAATGTATTATGAAAACACAATCGCAGTATTTGTCATCCTACTTCACTATTTTGAATCATTGTAGTCATTAACAAAACAGAATATATATACCTTCTCTCTCTCTCTCTCTCTCTCTCTCTTTTTTTTTTTTTTTCCAGGTAATAAGCCTGTCAATAAGTAGGAATTATCACTACAATTACCGGGAAGACATGGAGGATTATTGACTTAAAAAGAAATCATTGACTTTCTTCCTCTCATAAAAGGATCAACCAGGAAGTGGCAGTACTAAGAATAAATGACACAAAACGATGCTAACTATGCAGGTTTGGCCAACAGCTGTGCAGGCTAAGGCAAAGACCTTTTGGTTTGGACTGCAGCAATTGTTCAAGAATAGCACCAAATCAAGAAGAGAAATGCTACACAAACAATATTACAGAAACTCTAATACAACAAAGCACCATTACCGCATCTTGCAATGGCACCACATCATTCTAATATGGATGAGAACTCTGCATGAAAATTCCTTTTTTCCCCTCTGACAAGTAATCTGCATAAAAATATATCTTGTGCATTGTTTCCAATTTAAAAAAATGACTTAAGAGATCAAGATGAACAGAAATGGTGCCAAAATGAGTTCACCGACATATTCTCCAATAAAAATGGCAGAAAGAAAGAATATCATGGTAGTCTAATAGCTTGAACATTAAAACAGAAAGGGTAGTGCACAACTGAAAGAACCCAAACCAAGTTCACAACGTAAGATCCTCAAGTAAACTTGCTGATGACTTTTTTTCCATCCTTACAAGGTTCAAAAGCTCATACAAATACACACAATAAGAAAATAAACATTGAAGATGCCCCCAAAGCATATTATCAGCAAAAGCCGAATCATCTGAGAAGCGCTTTATTCCTTATGATTCCATGGCAAGTATCCTGCATCACCACATAATATCATCTTACATTAAAGTATCCCTAAAGCAGAACATTCAACAGATGACCCATGATCCCACCCTGTTGTAGCACTAGCAACAAATGCTTATCGAGTAATGGAGAAAACTAAATTTGGGACACATGACCAACACAGCAGTTCATTTTCAGACCAAAAAGTAAATCAAGAGATTAAAACATCCATTTAAACATAAGCAAAATCTCTTTGGACAAAGGAGATACTCATGTTTTCACAACCTAGGTAAAGGAGGGAAGTTAACGATCACAAAAGTTACTGGTAGCAACCATTGCATTGCCTTGATCTGGTTATGCCAAGTACATCAATGTTTTTGCTAACAAAGAGGAATCTAGATCTGTCAGAGTATGTTTTGATTCATCTGAGGTACCCCCAATGTCCCCGTCCTACATGCAACAGGTAATTGCCGGGTTATGCCACCTTTCTGTTAATCTGGTGGTTTATATAGAAAGGCATGTGTCAGATGTGAGAACAACGAATTAGGCAGATACCTGATAACTAGTGACAACTGCAATGGCTTAGTCAGTAGGCAAAAAGAACAATAATTGTAGAAACAAGAAGTAATTTGACTGAAGTTCAAATAGGCTTAGGGACAAGTGGACAGCCCCCCAACGCAAAATTTCACTGAAAATCATCATCTATAAGCCACAGCCGGACCATCTTTGCCCCTACTTTTTATTTTCACTATTTACATCTTGGATAGCCAAAATTGGATCTACCTTCTAACCCCCTGAACTACTAGCAGTATCCATTTTTGTAGAAGGAGTTCCAAGGTGTACCTTTACGAATGCTATGAGCCGAGCTGTGCAACATAGGCAAAAAAGGATGCACCTTCGATGCCTCGACTTATGAGGTGTACCCTACATGAGTTGTTTATGCTTACCGTCTATTTGTTGGTCCTACAATTTAGCATGGTGAGTTACTTTATGTTTCACCAATTGGCGTGCTGCCATATTAAATTTCCTCTGTAATCAAGGCAGCTTCTTTCTAATTTCAGTAGTCACCAATTATCATGGTTAGCAACCCAATTAAAGTTAATTATAAGGTCAAACTATAGATTAGGTCCACTGCAAAAAGCCCATGCCTCATGCATCCTTATATTTTTTAATGCAAATATAGACGATGGTACTCAGCTCACTTATATTTCTCAACCGTTTCCATTATTATTTATTCATAATTCAATTTTCTTATTCATTAAGGAATTATCTAAATGAGGAGAAAAACATGATCACTTAGTTATGACCAAACTAATTGCAGTTTTGAAATGTCCCGCTTTGTATAGAAAGATACAAGTCCCGTTCCTCGCCTTGGAATAGGATCAAAAAGGATAGTTGAAAGCATTAAGAGAGGTACACGCGGGGAAAGAAAAGAAAACTTAACCTCCTCGCAAACTAGACTGGTTGAACTATCCTTATCAAACTAACACGAAGGAAATGAAGCTACTCACTAAGGGCAGGAGAGACTTTATTCCTTTTTCTGCTGTGCTAGCATTGTGGTTTGGAATTGATTATTTATCAATGATCCACTCTTTCTTTGAACCTTGTCAATGATTGAACTTAAAGATATGAACTGAGTGTCATTTGATGAATAATTGAGAACAAAGGAGAAAGATATAGAAAGAATGAAGTAATGAAAGAAGAAGTAGTTTTAAGTACTTGGTCAGGTAAAGGTTGACCAAGTCAATGATGCTTAGCTGGTCTTTTTAGATGATCAACCACATTAAGACTAAGACATGGCCTAGACTCCCACGGGGAGCTTCAGTGGCGAATCTTGGCCAATGCGCAAAAGCTCGATCTAGCCATTTTTGTAACTGTCGCCACTCATCTGCGCCAGTGTGTCCACACCTCCCTGAGTGGACACAAAAGAAAGGATTTCTTGGAGCAACCCTCTAGGTTCAAGATTCAGGTGTCAACTTTCCCGTATGAGCATTCGGTACATGTGTCAGTTGGTGCAAGAGTGAAAGGGTCATTCTAGTTTTATTTAACACAAGCCAAAATTAAGTTCTGGATAGCAAAAAGTCTTTTTGGACCACATTTTTATCTAGAACCTAAAACTAACATTTATACACTCATTTTTAAATTAAAAATTAACTTATCTCAAATGAAAGTACTTGATATCATCCAATATATTGGTAGTTGGGTGGAAAGAGAAAAGAAGAGCATTTGGGGTTGTGGAGGGGCGTCCATTCTCCACTAAAAGCCATTGGGTCCTAACTTTCTCTTACTTTTTTTTGGACAAATGAATGAAGTGATTTGCATAGCAAATTCAAGGAATAAGGCAGATAAATGCATATGATGAAATATCTTCGTAGCGTAAAGCTAGCAACTGGGAACCCAAATGCATAAAAGTCAGCAACATCACAATCCAATAATGAAAAACAAACCAAACAAAACGCAATATTGGCAAGTGTCTAAGCCAGCAGATATCCTTGGACTAATCAAGCGTATAATTCAAGTGAGACGCTTTTATTTATTTTTAGTGGTCAGAACCCTCGTGACAAGCAGCAAATTGACAAGGGCTATCATCTTGACATTTTCTATTGATTGTTCAACATAGTAGAAACAAGCGATTCTTCATAATTGCCCCCCCCATCAAAGCCAGTTAGAAATTTGAGCCCTTACAAGACAGATCAAAACCTATCCAAACACAAAACCCTAAACTGACCGTGGAGTAGAGAGAGAGAGGGAGATATGATTTTCTATACATAATACGAAAGAGGTGATAAACAATCAGAACCAGGAAAAAAAAAAAGAAACTTTACCAGAAAGACAGTGGTCTAAATCTAATTGGAGGAGGCAGCGAAGTTCTCCATGAGCTTCTTGTCCCGTCTTTCCATGGCGACGTCCCAGACATCGTTGCAGATATGCTTCGGCTGTTAAGAATTGAAACCTTAAAATCGTTATGATCAGGAAATCAATAAAAGAAGGAGGGGGGGGGGGGGACTTGGATCTGAAGAATCAGAAAGTGGTTGTTATTGGTAAGAAATAGATAAATTACCCGGCCATGTGCGGCTTTGTGGAGGTAAAACTGAGCATTGCCCATAACGCAGAGCATCCCTGCAATGATCCCTAACGGCAGCATTGCTTCTAGCCACACCAACGCCATCTCTCTCTCTCTCAAGCAGCAGCAGCACTGCAGCCTGCCGGTCTGGGTTATTTCCCTTCTATGTATTTTGTTGGTACCAAGACCAGTCCAATGGGCCAAGAGAGTTTAACATGAGACCTTATCACATTTTTAGGTCCAATTTCTTTTAGGTTCATGTGAACTTGGATCATGGGAAGGGGCCAATCTATTTAGGCCCACATATCCTTGTTACCTTGTAGGTTTTTTTTTTTTTTTATTAAAGAAACTATTTTGACATATTTGCTGTATTTTATTTAACTTAATCTAAGTTGAAAATAGATCACATAAGTTATTAAATACTACTACTTTTATGACGTTGGTCTCGATGTTTCTTTCAAAACTATTTTTAATAAATCATTTATCGTAGGGGCGGGGGTAAGGGCGGGGGCGGGAGTGGGGATTGAGGAGTAGAACCTGTTTTATTTATGGCCACACCCACACACATTTACCTACCTACCTTTCCAATGCCAAGCTAGTCGCATGTTTCAGCATCTTCAGACAAAGTTGAATATGCCAAAATCATGGTATTGGTTGGCAGTAGGAGCACCAGACTCACACTCACAGCCAAGATAGATGGCTTTGGCCAGCCAGTCAATAAGATAAGAGTTCTAGATAACGGCGTCGTATTAGGATCATCTTTTTATTCTCATGGGAGACATGAACGGCAGGAAGTATAGGCTCCCTCAGTCAATTCAAAGTGTCCCTCCCAATGAAGACTCTGCGTTGGCAACATCAGTTACCATTGGCCGTATGCTAACGCACTGATCTCTCTGCTCTAGAACCTCCTTTCCCCACCACCACCTCCGCTAATTCCTTTCCTCAGCCACCACTCGTAAACCACCAGTCAACAAATGTATGTATGGACCACAGCACAGCCTCTCTTTGATTTTTTTTCATTGATCTTTCATCAACGCGTAACGTAACGCATATTAGAAAAGTATATCTCCATTTCTACTACCTCTGTAAATGTAGTCTACGCAGTAACACCACAAACAGCCAACTTTTCAACTCTAATTTCATTTTTTTTTCTACTGTTTCTGTGTATGTTGTACATTGATCATATTTTCTTCTTTGTTTTTTGGTTTGGTCAGGGTACTCCGAAGATATCAAATCTATATATTTTCGGTCCTATATATATATATATATATTAAAAAAATAAACAACATTGGCTTCCTTTCTGCAGATTTCAGAGGCCTTTCGACCTTCCCTCTCTATATACACAAACCCTTTCCCTTGGGTTGTTTGTGCCTGTCCCTCTCTCTCTCCCTCCTTTTTCTTCTGGGGGTTAAACCCTGTGACAAGCTGTCGTCAAAAAGCCATGTCAGGTCTGTATAATCCCAACTTCTCAAGTGCAAGAGCTCTTTTTCCACAGATTAGAAGTACCCTAGATGTCGACAGGTACACCTTTTATCTATAGTACTCAACTTTCTTGGTTTAATTAATCTAATCTGAATTTGATTGATCTCAGGTTAGGTTACTTGAATAGTTTCTGTAGATTGATCTATGAGGGGTTTTATCTATGTTTCTTTTCCACCCGTGGTGTGCAGTGATCAGTACTTGTCAGAGCTCTTGGTTGAGCATCAAAAGCTTGGACCTTTCATGCAAGTTCTTCCGATATGTAGTAGACTTTTGAATCAAGGTTAGTTTGGAACACACTGTTTTATCTTTTGAGTTTTGGATCTAGGTTTTCTGGGGTTAATGGATTTTAACCGCATTATATTCCAGCTATATGTCGGTGCCTGCATGAATCAGAGTGTCAATGGTTTTACTTTCATCAACCACGGTTTATATGGTACCTGCTAGCTGTTCTCGACTGTAACTCTTGAATCAATCATTCTTCCGTAAATTGTTTTCCCTTTTTATTGCTTTATGGAAAACCCTTCTTTTCTTTCCCATTCAGTGTTGTTCGTAGCAGGTAAATACCTTTTCTTAATTCTGTACAATGGGGATCATATCCACCATCACCAATGGTTACCTTAATCAGGGCCTTGGTTAAATACGCAAGTGGGGTGACTTCAGATTAAGTAGTACGAAGGATGGTAGATGGACTTGATGAATTTGTTTGAGAGGGAAAATGTACTTGCTTTGTATATTTGTCGCATCAAAGATAGTTGATCAATTCAGTTGTCAAGACATTCTAAACAATCCATATTTTTTTCCCGTCATGCCTTGTTAATTGTCACATCATCATATAGCTTTTGGTGCAAGTATGTAATTCCGTTCGTAGTTGAGTGGGTGTAACATACGATGTAGTAAGCATTTCCAACCATTAATAACAATATAATTCATCTGGTAAGGTTTTGTGACTAGTTTCATCTTTTGATAAATCTCTTCCTGTTGTTCTGCGTATTCTTCTTTACTTGCATTGTTTTCCATATACAGTATTATTGTGACATTTGACTAAATCTTTTCTGCAAAATAGTTCCAGCTTTATCATCTTTCTGTTGTTTTTTTGTTTTTGGTTCACTGTGGAGGTTGAATGGTTGATTAATCAGTACTAAATGCTCTTTTCTTTGTCCAGAGATTTTACGGGTTTCTGGAATGATGCCAAACCAAGGCTTTGGTGAACTTGACAGACTGCGACACAGAAGCCCGAGTCCCATGGCGTCTTCAAACCTTATTTCTAATGTTGGTGGAACAGGGTTAGGTAGCTGGAATGGACTTCGTCAGGAGGTAATTTGTATGAATCTTAATTTTACCACAAAATTCTTTGTTCATACTTTGCCTTTTAGTATTATTACATATTTTCTAGAAGCTGCAATTGTGTCATTTGTGTTTCCTTTTCACCATTGGCCTATGATACATACTGCAGTATGTGAGTGGCACTCTGCCTAACGCTGGTTATTGAAGGTTATGAGGTGAAGAACGGGGATCGATAGGTTGATCTGTTCTTTTCTTTTCTTTTCCATGAAGCAATCTATGAAGAACGTTTTTTTATTTTTTTTGGAAAAAGTAAAGCACTGGTTGAGAATGAGTATTGATATAAGCCGGATTATAGTGAATGAAGGCTGTTGTTAACTATAGTCCTTATAACTGGCCATCTAGATGAGCCTCATAGACAGGTTGAATTTAAGCATAGCTGAAAGGTCCAAAACTAAGGCTTAAGTTTTTAGGTGTGTTTGGAACTTGGATTCCAAACATGTATATTAGGCAGGTATTGTTGGACCCTCCATAACTCCCAGAAGGTCCAGAACCAAGCATTAGTTATTGATTTAATTGATTTTATCCTCTGTTGGGTTTGACCTTTGACCCCACCTCCCCCCCCCCCCCTTCCAAAAAAAAAAAAAGAAAATCCCCCAGAAAGTTCAGAACCAAGCATTAGTACTTGATTACTTAATTTTATAATTTGTTAGGGGACTGCTTATCCTTTTTAATCACATAATTAATTCAACTGAAGTTGCTGTTTCATCTTCGAAATAATAGCGACCTTCTTTATGAGCTACTCATTTTCTACGTGCTCGGAGCAAATTCTCAGGTGTTCCTTTTGTATTTGAATGTAAAACTAATGTGGGACAAATACAGCGTAGAAGCATTCCATTTTTGAATGCATGTGATAAGTTTCCCCCAAGTTTCATCATAGGAGTTACTTTGTTAAGCAACAATCTACACAAAATGCTGTGGAGTGTCTATGTGTAGGTTTCATTTTGTGGCAGAAATAATTTCAGATACTTATATTTTTGGAAAGAGAAAAAATCAAATTGTTGGAGGGCAACAAGAATTCACCACAAGACAAAAGCACGCATATAAATGGTTCTAATACCCATGTTCCTCCTAGTCTTGTTTTGTTTTGAGAGGCCCCCCTCCCTTCTTATCCGGAGCGCCTGGGCATGTTCCTTACTCATATTTTTGAAAGTTGTCATCCCGGAATTTTCGATAAGCCAGGGAAAGTGCCTCACCTTTCTACATTAATTATTATAGTAAGTTCCTTTGGTTTCTATAAAACAGAATGAAAATCCGGGGAGGAACACTGGAAGCACAAACAAATTGATAGAGGAGAAGTGAAAATTCGTTTCTAAAGCCGGTTGTAGTAGATTATGGAGTCTGCCATCATGCACATAAGGCATGCCTGATATCAGAGAAGAACAAGTTGGAGATGTATTTAGCACTTGTTAAGCAAAAGTTAGGCTGGGGTTTGAGCACAACTGATATCACATTAAATTCATAGAACCAGCTAATAGATCCTAACTATTAGCTGGTTGCGCTCTCTTGGGATTTGGCAACTGCAAGTTAATTCCCATCTTCCAGCCTATTAAGTTAGGCTTGATTAGTGGTTGCTGAGCAACCAACAAGCTAGGTTTGAATTGTGGTAGAATGAACACAAATGCATGTACTTTGTTTAGTCTTGGAGATTAGGACCTCACCACCCTTTGAGTGATATACCCTTAAATTTCTATCAAGGTGTCTTGCAGTGTTAGGAAGTTATGAGCTTTGAAAGAGAGTTCGAATGTGTTACCTTCACTTGCTGTCACTGGTCGCACTATTTTCACGTCAAGAGCTTATGGAGTCCTTTATCAGTCAATTTTCAGAATGGTTAATGTTGTGGTTACTCTGTTGCCTTGTATATTATCATTCCACTTTGATACTGATTAGATTATAAAATCGGCAATTTTGTTTTTTCCTCTCAGCTTTTCTCTTTTCTTACTTTTCTTTCTCTCTTTCTTTTACCTGTTAAGAAAGTAAAAGAAAAGCAATAAAATTTTCCATTGCATGGCAGAGATTAAGCAGACCCCCTGGAATGACAATGGACTGGCTAGGGGCTCCTGCGAGTCCTAGTTCGTACACAGTGAAGAAGATTTTGCGCTTAGAAATTCCAGTTGATACATATCCAAATGTAAGCTTCATACACTGCCAATATTGCTGAAATCTCCATTGATTATTTGTAGTCCATGCTTCATTTTTTCAAACTGAAAGCTTTCTAGTTTGAAATAATGGTACTGAGCTGTTAACTTCCCTGTGGATGCTAGTTCAATTTTGTTGGGCGACTTCTTGGCCCCAGAGGCAATTCACTGAAACGGGTGGAACTTACTACAGGGTGCCGTGTATATATTAGAGGAAAAGGTTCAATAAAGGACCCAGACAAGGTGATAAAAATTCTTATTTCCCTTTCTTCTGATGTAAAATAATGACTATTAATTGACGATGGCTTAGGAAGAACCCACTGGGCTATTGACTTATGTCAATGCAGATCCATTACAAATTTATAAGCTTACTTCCACTTAAGGTTTTGTTGTGATATGTGAAGTTAAACATATGCTTTTTCAATCTCAAGGAAGAGAAGCTACGGGGACGACCTGGCTATGAACACCTCAATGAGCCACTCCACATCTTGCTTGAGGCTGATTTACCTGCTAATATTGTCGATATCAGGCTGAGACAGGCGCAGGAGATAATAGAAGAATTGCTCAAACCTGTGGTATTCATCTCAAATCCAGTCATATTTTGTGCTTTTAGTTTTGAAGATTCCATGTGATTTTGTGTGTAGTAATCATGCAACATTCTCCCCCCGCTTTCAATGAGATGGTACTTTTGAATTTATGCAAAGGGAGAGTGATGATGGAAACTGAACCCTATGTGGGTAGGCAGTCTTGTTAGTTTACTGTTGGGGTGCTGACTTTGCAGCATGCCCGCTTCAGGTCCAGCAGAGTTGGCATCTCCACTTGACATGCATTCACCACAAATTCTGGAAGTAGTTTTGAAGAATGTCTTCTACTGAAACTCTAATACTTGATATGGGCCTGGGTAACATTCATGGTTTATTACTATTTTGGTGATCATTTGTCTCCTTAAGATTATGAGGCTGAATGTGTCAACAGTCCAAAATTTCCCCAACATATGTTCCTTTTGGCGATGTGAACGTGCTCATACTTATATTTATCTGATGGCATGCCTTAAAGTTTTGTTTCTTTTCCATTTTTTAATGGAATTCTCTTGTGTACAGGATGAGTCACAGGATTATATTAAGAGACAACAGTTGCATGAACTAGCTATGCTGAATTCAAATTTCAGAGAGGAGAGTCCTGGACCAAGTGGTAGCTTATCACCTTTCAACACTAATGGAATGAAACGTGCAAAAACTGGACGTTAAGTCATTGAATTAATTGCTTTTCAAGATGGTTTCTACTCTCTACCCTCTACCCTGCTTGAGAGTGATGCCTGAGTATACCTCTCAATACACTCATTACCGCATAATTATTGAAGCAAAAATGAAAATATAGGCTAACAGGTGTTGCAGGTAAGCTTTTTTGTTGGCTTTTCTTTTGTTTATTGAACAGAATACAGGAACGAAGGCAGTGAAACCCACCAAAAAAAAAAAAGGGGCGGGGGAAAAAGAACCGCTTTTTGTAGTTGTGGATTTTGATTTAGGTGTGGTGATATTAATTTCTGTGAACTTCATTCATTGGTGTTAGTGACAATTTAGTAGTGTGGAATATGTTATTATTAGTGCAGCCCAAGGCCTTGAGCAAGTGGTTTAAATTTTGTAGGTATTTGGAGTCCGCAAACTTCTGTCCATTATATTCATGATTCGATTGGAAATTTATGATAAAACTCATAAGCCCACTGAGGGAGGTTTGACTGAGTTTGGATTTGTTATAATCAGTTGTCTTTGCTCAGTGGCAGCATATTCTCTAGTGTTTAGAAATTTTGGATGGTTATCCTTGTTTTATTGGATGGGGACTGTTACATTGTTTATAGCAGATGAACTGCTTTCTGATTAATAGTAGCTTTAAGCTTTGATCAAATGTACAGATTCGGGTGACAAACAAGTTGTGGCGAGTAATCTGTTATAATATTCAGAATTCTTGTGGCACGATGCTGCAATCATCTATAGTCTTTTCAGTTGTTATTGATGATGCACAAAATGTGTTTGTATACCACTAATTAAGTATTTAATGTAGTAATTAAGAAGGGAATTTAACACAATCAACCAAAAATTAAGTGGTTCAGTCAGAGTGATTTATTTCATTATAAAAGATTACGGTGGTCTGAGTATGTTATTTTATTGTTTAAGGAGTGTAGAGTGTTCGGATGTGAGTGATGTCCTAATTGTGTAGATGGAACTTATAATTTATAGGCATTTTTTTAACAAATTGAAGCATCGTTCTCACAACATGTGAAGCAATTCGGTGGAAATAACACTATTTTTGTAACATGCAAGACACTTTCATGGAGGCGACGATGTGCACTTAGTGATTGCATTTCACATATATTTTCTCGTATCTTAATTGTGGATGGAGTCTTGTAAGATAGCGATATTGACTTAACTGAGTTTTAATATTTGAGTTGAATGTGGTCTGTAATTACAATTTGGGCTTAATCTGTAATTATGAGCCTGATCTGTACAAGGATTTTCAGTTATTTTTTTTGAAATGTGGTGTTTCGTGTGTGATTGACTGAGTTGAAGTCATCACAATCAAACTGTCACCGATTTGTACTATAAAGGAAGGAGAGGATTGTTGAAAAGCAAGCAAAAACACGCACACACACGCTGATATGATAAAAAAATGTTCGCATGCTCTCTACTCTGGGGAGTCGATGTAAAGAATTGAGGCTCTGACGAAGGAATCAATGAGATGGTGTGGTTTGGTGTAGGGGAAGTAGTGTGACAAAAGTGCCGAAGAAGACAGCTTCGTACACGTGTCATCTGGAAAAATATCCCAATTTTCGGCGATTTATTATTCATTTAAGAAGAATTCCTCGTGCACCCCGATCCTGCTAGGCTAGGGTTTTATTTTGAAGTGCCGTCCGTTTTTGGAGCTGGATCTTCTGCTATTCACTACTAGTCTTTTACACTCTGATCGATCTCTTTGCATTAGCAGCAAGCACTCCCAAACTGTAGGCACCATCTGTAATCGTCAACGCAGGTACTAACAATTGATTCATTCTCCCACTAGTTGTGTTTTTTTTTTTTTCAGATCTCATAATTCTTCTCTCCCACTCACTATGCCCCGCCCAAAAACCCACAACTGCCTCATGTTCTCTCTCCAGCATCCTGAATTTTTTTCTTTTCGCTATCATAATCAGTGTGGTTGGTACTGGTAGGGTTGGTGAACTTTTTCTCTTGTATTCTTTAATAAGATTCTGCAGACGCACACGCGGATGGTTGTCCCCTTATGAATACATGATGATCTCAACAATAACGATCCCAGATCTCTGCCTGTTTATATAGTCTGCTTTTTTTTTTTTAACTGCAGTTATGATCGAGTATACAATCTGCTTGCTTAAAAATTCTCGTTATCTTCTTTGTTTTTCTGTTATGCAGATTTGATTTTGGTTAGACAAGGGGGGAAAAAACTCCCCTGTTTTTTGTGGGCTCTCTCTCCGAGGAAGTATGGGTTCTATGGCTCAGCTCCGTTACTCTCCTCTCGCTGGGCACTATCATCATTTCACTCATAATCGTCATATTCCTAATCAAACATCCAAAATTCTTGCTATTACTTTCCCATATTCCTCATCACCATCACACTCTCAAAACCTCTCCCTTTGTCCTCGTCAGACTAATTTTCTAGTCAAACACCAACTTCCGTTAGCCGGTGGTGGCGGCGGCGACAATGGAGTGGGTGGTGGAATCAGTGGCGGTGATGGCAGTTGGAGCAGTGGAGGTGGAGATTCCGAAGATTCATCATCGTCGTGGGATAGTTTTGGGCCCATAGGGGCTTTTCTTAATGGTTGGAGATCGAGAGTGGCCGCAGATCCCCAGTTCCCTTTCAAGGTTTTAATGGAAGAAATAGTTGGTGTGAGCGCATGTGTACTGGGAGACATGGCGTCTCGTCCTAATTTTGGGCTCAATGAGCTTGACTTCGTTTTCTCAACCCTTGTCGTTGGGTCTATTCTGAATTTCGTGCTAATGTATCTATTGGCACCCACCATGTCTTCCTCGGCCCAGAATCTGCCATCAATTTTCGCCAATTGTCCCACAAGCCACATGTTTGAGCCTGGACCTTATAGTTTTTTCAACCGTTTTGGGACATTTGTGTATAAAGGAACTCTTTTTGCTGCTGTTGGGTTCGCAGCTGGATTAGTTGGAACTGCGTTATCAAACGGGCTAATGAAGATGAGAAAGAAGATGGATCCAAATTTTGAGACACCAAACAAGCCTCCACCAACTGTTTTGAATGCAGCTACTTGGGCGATTCACATGGGTGTTAGCAGTAATTTCAGATATCAAACTCTCAATGGGATCGAGTTTTTGCTAGCCAAGGGACTTGCACCCTTGATGTTTAAGACTTCGGTAGTTGTTTTGAGATGCCTGAATAATGTCCTTGGAGGAATGTCATTCGTTGTATTGGCAAGATTGACAGGATCACAGAGCGTTGATGAGGAGAAGACGGTTGCTGTTGTTGAAAAGGGATCGGCTGCTGAGACCAAATTGGTAGATGAGAGTCGGGATTTGGCTAGCAGTGAGTCTACTTCCAATTAATTTGGCTCGTCTGATTGGATGTTTTTTTAGGAATGTTTTCTCCAATCTTTAGTGTTTGAAATAAATCGAATGTGATTTTATAGCGTTGAGTCACTGAAGATGGTTAATTTCAGTGGCATCCGACTCAGGTGGGTGGCATGGAGCTGCATGCTGCTACTTGGATCTGGTGATTGACCATTTGAGTTTGAAAAACGTGATGATTTACCTGCTTTTTTGTCTGTAAAACATGATTTGTTGTGTCTTAGCAGTGCAATGCAATAGATTTGAATTATGTCAACCGTCATTTTACAACTGCAATTTTAAAGCGCTCTAAACAAGAGAAGACGTGGTAACAGGACTCTAAAGCGTTGGACGTGATGGACCATTAAACTCTTTTCTACATGGAAGGGGAAATTCACCAGTTATTTTGTTGAAAACCACTACCCAATTTCGATTCTCCACTAATAAAGCGGCTGGCAACCAAAACTATTCTCGCATTTTGTGCTAAAATTGCCAAACCTGTAATTCGGCTCTTTTTAAGTTTGGAAAGCTGCACCAGTTCAGTTCTTTTCTGGTGATCCTTATTTTAAATTTGACATTGTGGACACCAAACAATGCAAAATCATAACCCACCGCCGAAATTGCCTGCCTGAGCTTGACAACCCTCGTTGATATGGCAGTCATGAGCTTAAAAGGAGAATTGCATTGCGTCCGATCATGGTGGTGGGTTTTACCTGAGCAGCAGTAACCATGGTAACCCAATTGACCCAGAGTTCCTTTTCTTTTTGAATTCATTAAAAAAACGATTAATTGGTGTTTAATAATCTGGATAAAGCTATTATATGCTGAAGTTTTATACTTTGACATGTCGCCTGAAACAAACTATTTATCAACTAAAGGATGTGCATGTGCAAACTACTGCAAAACTGATCAATATTATTGTGCTTCATTCAACAAAGAGGATATGATGACTTCCTAAAATCTAGGGCAATATTCTATTTTGAATGGAAAGGATTAGTTGATTCAACATGCTCAAAACTATCCCCAGGGAAAAAGCCTGTGCTACGTTAATGATGTTACCAAAAATTGAGATTCATCATGCACCCACTTTGCCAATAGGATGCTTGCGGATCTGCATAGAAAAGAAAAGAACAACATGAGCCCGGAGGAGGGTGTGAAAATTAAAAAAAAAAACAAACTTTTGAAATCATAATTCCTATTACTTAGTGGAACACCCAAGTACTAAAACTTTCATAAATCAAGTATATTAATACATCAGTTTTGTTATATAATTAGTTCAATACAGTGATTTTTGTAATGTTAAAATGCTTAGGCTAACAATTGTAAAGTAGTGTGTTCCGAATTGAAGACTCATAATCCGAATAAACTACTACGATATTCAAGCGAAAGCCAAAAGGAATTTAGACAAGATTGTCAGAGAAGACACACTGCCCATGTTAGTCAATTTAAAAGCTAGTTAGCCCAAATAGAATACAATATCAGGAACAAAAAAGGGGAAAAATTCATGTACCCAACTCAAAGTGTGTGACAGTGTTGAGTACTGAGAAATAGTCAAATTCGTCTAATGAATACCTCAGGAAGTTTCTGCGGGAAAACAACATCCAGAGTGTTCTTGCAGACAATCTTCCCATCTTGCGAAGCCAGGACAACTCCTCCAGAGCTTTCAGATCATTAATAAGAAAACAGTAGGAGAAAATCAGTAACATCATCAACACAAGCTGTGAAAAGCAGCAACGACATACCCCGTACACACTGGAAGGGAAAAGAACCGAAAAAAGAATTCAGCTCAAACATGAGAGTAGTGACGTGTGCTGGAATTCTAAAGAATTTGCTTGTACATCAACGTTTAATAAAGAAAGCTCCAAATGCAGATAATTTCTCAAGCACATGAAAGCACCATCCATTCTCTTGTACATCATGCTAAGTTTGCATCCCCTTGGATTAGTGGACTTGAAATAGAAGAAATGGGGCCATTCACCACTATTGTTCGGAAAAAAGCACCAACCCAACCAAAAACTAACGAAGCACCAAACACAAAGTGGTATAAGATCATACGTGTGATCCAAAACATGCACGAAAATAGTATACTTTTTAAAATCTATGACAAAACAAATGCTTCATTTTATATGCTGTGTAGAAAATGACCCCTTTTAGGAAAAGTGCCAAGTTAATGACTGCGAGGTTGTTGGTTGGAATATGATTGCAGCCAATTTGCACACAACATTAATGTGAAAAGTTAGCTCTGTACCAAGTCTATTCCTCCCAGCACGCTCCATTAGCTAATGACATCTTTTAAGAAAATAATGGAATAATTTTCTTTTGAAAGCCAGAAGCCCTCAAATAATGCAAAAGATCCTGAATTAGTACTACAGGTTGCAGGAAGAGGCGGTAATAATTACCAGGATGGACCGTGGGAGTTTGCACTACTTGGAGGTGGTGGAAGATGTTAGAATAAATTAAAATAAAAGTTTTAAAAACCCCGGAACTAATTATTTTGTATTGATTTTTTAATTTTTAACTTTACTATTAAAATTTAATTCTTACATGTTCATGTCATTTAATTATAAAATTGATATAGGCTTAATAGCCTAAAAGTTACATACTAATATATTTTAAAGTTTATTATTCAAGACTCATTAAAACGATGCCTATAAAACGAAGTAGATGTTTTGGATAGAAGATGAATAGTTTTTTCATCTTTTTTATATGTTTCTCTTCCACCAAGTGTTGTTATTCTTTCTACATATTTTTTTTTGCCTATTATTAGATTTGCATACCTGCAAATATTTGGTATTAGTTTATTTCGGGCAACTTCGATTCGAGTCAGGTTCATCCTTCCTTCTAGTGGGCGTGACCATTGAGGAGGTGCTGCTATGAGCATCTGAGTTTAATCTTGGAGTCGTTAGTGTTCGTCAGTAACCTCACGCGAGAAAGCTCAACTGCTTTAGAACAGTGTTTACACGATTTTCGGACTCGTGGACTAGCTCTTTTTAATTTACAGTAACTATTTATTCTATTTTAAATTGATTATTATTTTATATTTATTTGCATATTCTTATTAGTTTGTGATTTAAATATTATTTTATTAATTAAAATTATATATAATTATGTTAATTTCTCCGACAATCTAAAGCAGCTGGCACTATCAATATCTTGAGAAGAAAGCATAGAAAAGAAAGGTTTTGATTCTACTAAGTAAAGTAAACAAAGAAAAAAAAAAGCTTTCTCGGAGAAAGTGTCTATTCACGTCAAGGGAGAATGCCGCTTTAGAATTCATAGTCAAGGACGACTGACTAAGATGCTTGCCATGTATATATCTATTTATTTGAATTCCGGCAATAAGAGTCAGAAGCTGATTTTTTTTTTTTGTTAAAAAAAAACATTTTTTTTTAAACAAAAATAGTAACAGTTTTCTGTGCTACTGTTTTTTGAAAAAAAAAAACTGTTACTTTTTTTCTGGGAAAAAAACACTGTTTCTGTTTTTCTGGAAAAAAAACTGTTTCTGTTTTTCAGGAAAAAAAAAACCAGTTTTCTAAAAAAAAAAATACAGTCTTCTAGAGACTGAAAAAAAAAAAATTTCTGTTTTTCTGGAAAACAGTTTTTATTGAATTTTTTTATAGTAACAAAATATCTAAAGGGATTTACAACAATTAAAAAAAAAACCAGTAGTTACTTGCTTTAATAAAAAAAAAATAGCTACTTGCTTTGAAAAAAAATTTAAGTTTCAAGAGCTATTACAATAATTTAAACACATTTCTTAATTTCGTTATAAATAGAGTTTTGACAGTTAACATTTAAATTTAATACAAGTTCTTTGTATTTCTCTTATTATTTCTTAACCCTTTAATTCTAAATAATTCTTCATTCAAACGTTAGTATATATATTATAGCATAAGGTAAGTAGATGTTAATTAAAGTTTCAAAATTAGTGGGGAACTAATAGTTATTTGGAGAATGTTAGATCTATCAATGTGTGTTCATATGTTTATTCTATAAATTAAGGACACGTCCATTATTATTGAAAATATTATTTTTGTGATTAACGTGTTTACACTTCATTACATGCACATATGCATGTGATATCTAATTAGTCTAATATCACGTTAGTTAGAGGGATCTTATGTAGATTTATGATACAGAAAACTTTAAACAAAAGAAGATAGTATTTACTAGTAGGAGTATTTATTGGAAAAAAAAAAAGAGGAAGGGAAAGGAAAAAAAAAACATTGTTATACTAGGTAAACTACTCGAGTGGGTTGGGTAGACTAATAGTTTTGAATAAATCACAACTTCAAAAAGATGTTCCCACACTATGCCCAATAACTTTAGTCCACCTTGTGTGTTCATTTGTAATCTCTTATTCCTTCCATGGGTAATTAATATATGTTCTCTAGTAAATTATTTATTTTACCAATTTGAATTCATGTGTATTTTACTAATTGGATTGTTACTAGTTGGACCTGTAAGAAACAAATCCAAGGTATGACAAATTTGAACTTGTAAGGCTATTGACATGTTACTGTTCATTATGTTGAAAGTCCACTATGGATCACCTATAATCTAAGAAGAGAGCATATAAAGCTTATCATTGTGTAACAATGGAAAAGTAATAAAAATAAATAAATAAATAAAAATAAAAATAAATAAACCTTTGGTGTTATTTATAAGTCCTCAAATTTGTCTAATGCTTGGTTCCATATAAAACTTCGTTAAAGAATACTAAAATAAACAAAAAAATTGGTTCTGCGATATTTATGGTCAATGAACAGTTACTATCTATGGGTTTTTAATATTTTGAAGTGCTATAATTTATTTTATGGATTATTTGAAACTGGAACTAATAAGTTACAATTATTGTCCAAACGATAGTCATTAAGTTTGGAATTTTTGACTCATTTAATTACTAATATACGTTTATAATCGGTAGACCCAAATAGTTCAAAAACATGGTCAAGACTTTGTTCAAAAAAGTTTCTGCAATACTTTAATATTTTAATGATGCTTAGATCACAAGAGTAAAAATATATTGAGTTAAATCTGTATTGCTAAATTAGACTAATTACTGTTGAAGCTCATATAATGTACTATCATGGTTGTTTTACATCACTTCTGGAAAAGTAATTATTTTTGTTAATTCTTTTTGAATTAATGAAAATATTTGATTCTGAAATATGTTATTTTAAATGATGATTTATCATGGGAAGAAATTGTTGATGTGGAGTAACGTGCAATTTTAGACTAAGATAATAGAACATTAATTTAAAATGTCGAAAGTCAAATAATATCTAGTATGTTGGATGGTGACTAATATTTGAATTTCTGAATGCCACACATATTGATTCTAGGATTTCTTTGAAACATGTAAATCTTATCACCCAATGGAGCTACTAGATTAAAAAAAAAAAAGGCTTATTGAAAAACTGGTGTGACTTAGGAGTTAGGCAACAAACATCGAGCTATGAACATAGGTGAATGTTTTCATAACACCATGAGTGTAATTCACTTGAAAAAAAAATTCAAATTTATTGGGTGCTTAGTAAGAAGTATTGTAGCACCAAATTAGCATAGTGTACTAACGTGATAGGCCTAAGCCGTGTCTCAAGAATTGTCAAGGGGGATGGGCCTAAGCCGGCAAAGAAGTCACCTAAGGAGGTAACCCAACTTTTGTGATTGGGATTCCATGAAGGAAGTTCAATGGGTAGAAACAATTCATACTACGTGACTCATTAGTACCGTTGTTGAGAAAATATCCTAAGAGGAGATATTTTCATGCCCATCCCTTTGACGGATGTGCATATGTAGTGTGACAGTAAGGAAGGATTTTATCTTGAATGAGACTGAGGCATGAACACTCCTGCAGGGTATGGTACACATGTACCCTTGAAAGGCTCACCTAAGTGAGAGTAGTTGTGAGGCCGTGATTATAAGAATTGGGTTATTCTCTAAAAACTCTTATGAGAATCAAGATCAAGTGCATGATCATTAAACGCACTGACCCGCGAATCCTGACTAATATCGGTACTGTGTGTGTGATAGTTGAACTCTGACTCAAAGGGTCTAATTCAAGCCTTTGGTCACCATGATTCTTTAGGGGGAGACTATTAACACTAAGTGAGGTTCAAGTTTGAAAGACACATACATCCATTGCACAGTATAATAGTTGCTCATATTTTATGTGTATTGCTTTTATATAAATATATTTGGGTCATTTTGATGTTTTCATAACTTGTGGAGGATTGTTAGAATAAATTAAAATAAAAGTTTTAAAAACTACATAACTATTTTGTATTAATTTTTCAGTTTTTAACTTTACTATTGAAATTTAATTCTTGCATGTTCATGCCATTTAATTATAAAATTGATATAAGCTTAATAGCTTAGAAGTTACATACTAATATATTTTAAAGTCTATTATTCAAGAGTCATTAAGACGGTGCCTATAAAACAAGGTGGATGTTTTGGATAGAAAATGAATAGTTTTACCATTTTTTCTATATGCTCTTCTTCTACTAAGTGTTGCTATTCTTTCTACATATTTCTTTTTGCCTATTATTAGATTTGCATACCTGCAAATATTTGGTAGTAGTTTACTTCAGGTAATTTCGATTCGAGTCAGGTTCACCCTTCTTTCCAATGGGAGTGACCATTAAGGAGGTGCTGCTGCAAACGTCTGGATTTGATCTTTGAGTCGCTGGTATCCGTCAGTACCTTCACGTGAGGAGGTTCAGCTGTTTTAGAACAGTATTTATACGACTTTCGGATTCGCAGGCTAGCTCTTTTTAATTTACAGTAACTATTTTATTCTATTCTAAATTGATTGTTATTTTATATTTATTTGTATATTCTTATTAGTTTGTGATTTGAATATTATTTTATTAATTAAAATTATATATAATTATGTTAATTTCCACGACAGAAGATACACGCGATTGTCAATGGTAACTTTTGGAGCATGTACGTGTGCTTTCTCTACATACTCTTGCTTTGCTTCCTTCAGAACAGACTCAACGAGTGCAACGTCAACGTCTCTACACCGCAACAACACTGATGGCTCCTTCAGTCAAAGTAAACTCTAGGCATTTCAAAATGCAGATTTTCAATCACCAAACCACAGAAGAACAAAAAAGAAAAGAAAGAAAAGAATGAATGAATGAATGTGAATTAACATGATCTCACTAATCAGTTTGCCATTATAAAAAGTCAAATGTTGCAGAAGTCGACTAAAAGACTAAAACTAAGAGATGCCTCCGGGAGATGATATTTCCATCTAAAGTTGCAAATATCATTGGTACTTTCAAGTACAGCTGCAACATGGAAGAAGTGATAATGATTTATCCCATTCACTGCATTCCTAAAAAAACATTTGATAACTCCTTCAACAACCAAAATCTTTATGGTTGAGACTTGAGAAGAACACATAAATAGCAGATCACACCATCTTCCATTGAGCTAAGAATAAAAATATCTTCAATGAACTAGGTGAGAGCCGATAAGATAAAAAACGAGGATAAACAGTCGAGCCATATTTTTTTTGTCAATGAAAAACATGTAAGGGACTGTTTATCCACTTTGCTGGGTCAATGTATGTTGTGGGAAGTCAACAGGCATATCCAAATGTGTACAATCTCAGCGTTACACAAAGCACAATTGGAGATAACATATTTTTTAACTTTCTTAAACCAAAAAGAACCACGTAGACAAAGTGGGTACCTGAACAATCAAGCCATTGAGAAGTTTTTTGTACGAACCTTTGTCATCAGTGACACAAAAAAGATCCTTGCTGGCAGAATCTTTCATGGCATTTACCACGTCATCTTGAGCTTGAACAACTTTGATACGGGATGCATTCAGCTGCATTGAGTACTCACTGCATGAAAACTAATTTAGCCACCAAAATCTCATACTGATGATGTCAGAGACAAATCATTGGTGAAACAAGCATTGTTATGTCAAAGCAGTACAAGTCAGCTAGAACTATTTCTAAGGTGTTCCAAACTCCAAAGGAGCTCTAACTTTCACAAATGCTGCTCCGGTGATTAGGCATGGAAGTGAGCAAACTGGGAGGTGTCACATAAACAGAATCGAGTTGATCCCACTAAAGTGATTAAGAACCCCGTCACAGATTCAATTGTGACAAATTACTTAAGTCTCAACCATGTCCACAAAAAGTTTAGGAAGGTATCCTGATCCCATGAAGAGGGGTAGATTTATGTGTCATACAAAAGCATACCCATGTAAAAGGCAAAACAAGCAGATATGTGCTAGATCATGCCATATTCAGATATCCGGCGTTTGATTAAATTATGGAAATCAAAACCAAAATTCCAAGGTCATCCATTACTTGATTTAAAACATATTTCTAAGTTCCACGGTACCAGAAAACTTGTGCCCTTTACAAACCATGGAAGCACTAGGTGAGGAGCATGATAGCATTATAGAGAAGAGAGAGAGAGAGAGAGAGAGAGAGAGAGAGAGAGAGGTGTCTGTACCATTGCCACATACTCATGGTCATGGTGGCATGAAAAATGTACAGAGAAAAAAAAATCAGACTACAGACTAAAATTAAAATTGAAAAGCGGATTATATAACATAATATTTAAAATATAATTATATCAAATTCCACATGATTTGATTTTATTATTATTTGGTGAGTGAAGAAGGAACCGAGAAATAATTATTTGGTAAGACAAAAATAAATAAATAGAGTAAAGAAGCTACTTCTACGGGATTAGAAAATGAGTAATACTATTTGGATCTAAAAGTTTGACATAATTTATTGACATAATGATGTAATTTCAATTGAACTATTGGATCAACATCAAGTTCCAATGTTTGATAGGCTCTACAGTCAATTCAAAAGTCATAGTGAATTAAGTCAGTAAATTAGGTCAATAAATTAGGTCTCAATAACATTGCTCTTAAAAAAGTGAGATTATTGACTCCGTTTTTAAAAAGTGTGATAATTTGATAAATAAGTTTAAAAATGTCAAAAATCGATAAATTTGTTCAAAAATGACCGTACATTAGTAGAATTATTGATCCTGTTTTTATTGTACATTAATAGAATTATTGTACCTAACGATATTAAAAATATATATTATTAAAAGCAAAATTTTTAATTCTGTTTTTAAAAAGTGCTTTAATTTAGTAAATAAGTTTAGAAATATTGCAGATAATATGTAAATTTGTTCAAAAGTGACTGTAGATTGGTAATAAATTCAAAGACACGAAAACCCTCACTCAATATTCAATACACCACAGATCTACTCTCTCTCTTTGTCTCTCATGACGTAAAAATCAGAAAATGCTCTCCTCCTTCACTTTGCATCTACTGCACTCTCCACAAAATCACACACTGTGTGCTTCGTTGGAGATGGTATTGGCCTTGAGTTAGTATAGCAATGAATCGGAGCTTGAAGGATTTTCTCATCTGCATGAGGAATGTTCCGATGGGTTCGCAGTATCGGCGAGGCCTCAGTCTCACAGGAATCGCCAAGGACTCCGACGAGAACTTGGATCTCTTCTCCAGGAATCGCCCGAGTCTTTCCGTTCCTTCATCCGATGAATCCGACGGTGCCAATCTTCCTCATTGTGGTTGAGTTGAAATGTCCTATTTTATAATTTTTTATTTATATTTTTTTTATGTTAAAAATTTAATAGTGTTTGCGATAAATCAATAAATGAGCTGAAAATATTTTCGATCATAATTTGTCCCTTTTAATGTGAAATGCTGACTCCGTCTCTCCTGGAAATCCAATACTCTAAGGTTGTTCTGATTTGAATCAGTTGCTTAAAATCTAAAATAAATAAATAAACAAAGAGAAAAATAATCCAGCCACCCTCCAAATAATGATCCAAGACTCTGTGTGTGCAATGAAAGATGGAATCGGGCCCCCTCTTCATGTGAGGGCAACACCTTTAAGATGGAGCCTGTCACCTATTTTGTTATGCTTTCTTTTTCTTGGAGATTGTGACAGATTACACCGCATAAATCCAGAAAACACATGAGTGAGTAAGGGTTTATCTTTGCTTCAAAGGAATCCTACATACATGATATGAATGGGAGAAAAAGGTAAGGTTGGGTTGAAAATAGGTTAAATTAACGCTGGGGGAGAGGGAGGGGGAGGATCATATGAGAATAAGACAGGACAAAAACAAAAAACAGTTTGAGGAGTGTTGGGCATCTATTTCTTATCATTTACAACAAAGAGACAATAATATATACCTACTGTATTGCCTTTAAAAGGAAAGGAAACTCACCCAAAACACGCACATTAGTGAAATTGTTTGCCTGTTTTGTTGGTACCCTCCGATCAATGGATACAATAATGGCTTAATGCTGACTTTAACGTTTCGTTTGATATAATGAAAAAAATGAAAGGATGAAAAATTAGAATAATAAAAAGTTAAAAGGATAAATAAAAAATCATGTTTAATAAGGAAGAAAAATAAGAAATATGGATTAACTTTTTTTCTAACTCACCAAAATTAAGTCCTCCAAAATCGAAAGGAAAAATGGATGAAAAATTAATTATTTATATTTAAATATATTTTATTTGTCTATATATATATATATGCATACATTAATAAAATATGTATTTATAAATATATTTTAAAAATAAAAATTTTAAATTAAAAAAAATATTTGTCTATCTTAGTTAAGAGTGAAAATTTTCGATTCAACACGATGACACGACTTGACAGGCGAACAAGAAATATAAAAGACTCATATTCAGTTCAACCCATCAAACTCAAAATTGACACCATCAACCCGTTTATTTAAAAATAAACACTTTCTCTATTTTTTCGTTTGTATGACAATACGAAACTAACATGTTTAATTAGTATTATAGACATAAAATGTTAGTTATTTATAACTATTTATTAAGCACTGAAATAATTATTATACAAAAAAAATATTTTTACTTATTATTATTATATTTATTTAAGTTAATTTTTAGTTTGTAGAAAAAATATGAACATGGATTCAATTAAGTGAAAATGAAATATTAGCGTTAAAATTTTTTATTCAAAATTTATGTGGATCAACACGAATACAAACACGAACACAAACAGGTCAAATCGACACAATATAATTAGTTAAATGAGTTGAATTAGGTTTGACTAATGTTCGACACAAACCCGTAATGACTTAAGACAAACCTGACACGATACAAATCGATTGTCACCCCTAATCTTAGTTCGGCACAAAAAAAAATTAATCATTTTTATTTTTCATTAATCCTATCAAATACAAAGGAAGAAAAATGTATTATTCTTATCTTTATTCCTTGAAGGATAAAAAGTGTATCATTCATACTTTTCTTCCTTGAAGGATAAAAAATATATCTCTCTTACTTTTTATTTTTCCTATTTTTTATTCTTCTTACCAAACGAAACATAAGGGTTTGAAAGTAAATTGCAAGTACCACAACAGAATAAAATGATTGGCAAATAATAGTGGTCGCTAATCGTCAATTTCTTATAAGTGTGTAATGGCACTTGAGGGAATGTAATCCCCCTCATCTCACAATTAATGCTTCATAACTTGGGTGATTAACTCCCCCAATAAATATAGAATGAAAATTTAGGTGGTGTAAATATAAACGCTGATTGGTACGGTCAATGATGTCAAATGAGGTATTTAACATTCACCAAGTTCTCGTGGTGAATGATGTCAAATGAGGTTTCCATTGGTGTTGTTGTAAGGGACTCGTTTGCTTGTCTTATGGATGGTATTGGTCAAAAGGTGATGGCATCTTCTAGTCTCCAAGCACAAGCTATAGTTGTGAGGGATGCATGCCTTCTTGCAAGTGCTGCCCAGTTAAAGCATTCCAGCGTTGAAAGTGATTGCCTTGAGGTTATCAAACTCTCCTCAAATGAAGATGACCCTCCATGGGAACTCAGTATTCTTGTGGTGGAACATCAGATTTTTTGTCAGTCATCTTAATCTTTGTTTTTTATACAAGTCAAAATCTTTTAACAAAGCTGCTCATTGGATGACAGTGTTAACAATTATCAATGAAAGAGGAAAAATTTATTAATTAAGAATAATCAGATCAATCTTACAGAATTATTAAGAAAACAAAACTACACAAAATAGTTTTATATACTAGGACAAAACATAGTAACATAAATGACTAATCTACCCCTAATGCTAATATATTATATTACTCTAATATTCTTTCTCAAACTCATGATGTGATAGTATCAAACAACAAGAGTTTGTCAAAGAGAAAACGAAAGCGCGCCGTAGTTTGAGATTTTGTGAAGAAATCTGTCGACTGCGTAGTAGAAAAAAGATATGGAAGAGAGATCGTGCCCAACTAATGATGATGGTGCACAAAGTGACAATCAATCTCTATATGTTTGGAGCATTCATGAAACACCGAGTTGTGAGCAATTTGAATAGCACTGGTGTTATTAGAATACATAGGAGTATGAGTAGTCAAGGAAATGTCAAGATCAGCAAGCAACTAACGCAACCAAACTATCTTTGTTGTGGTGGATGTCATAGCACGATACTCAGTTTTAGCAGAAGATCGAGCTACAATGGTTTGTTTCTTGCTTTTCCAAGAAATAAGTGAATCACCAAGAAAGAGACAAAAATCAGTGATGGATTTGTGATCCATAGAGTCACCAGCCTAGTTCGCATCAGAATAAGCATGGAGCTCCAGAGACGAAGAGGAAGAAAATAATAAACTATGATGTAACGTACCCCATAGATATCGAAGAATCCAAAGAACTACAGATCAGTGAAGTGTGGTAGGAGCAACAACAAACTGACTAACTACATGAACCGCATAAGCAATATCTGGACGAGTGACAGTAAGATACGTCAAACTCCCAACAATAGTACAATATAAGGTAGGATCAGGCAGAAGAGAACCATTAGAGGAAGTATAACGAACATTGAGCTCCAAGGGTGTGTCAATCGTTCGAGTATCTGATAAGCAAGCTCGCTGAATAACATCTGAGGCATATTTTGACTGAGAAATAAGATAACCCTTGGGAGAGAAAGCAACCTCAATCCCTAAGAAATATTGAAGTGGACCCAAATCTTTCATCTCAAAATAATCTTGTAACTGAGTTTTCAACAGCTGAATTCTAGCATTGTCATCACCTGTAATAATCATGTCATCCACATAAAGTAATAGTAGAATGAAACCAGAAGAAGTGAATTGAAAGAAGAGAGCAGAGGCATGATCACTAGCATGGAAGCCTAAGTCACATATGACTGAAGAAAATTTTTCAAACTATACCCTTAAGACCTGTTTAAGACAATATAAAGCCTTGTAAAGTTTGCACACATGACCATGATTACAAGGCCACCCAAGAGGAAGAGTCATATAGACCTCTTTAGATAACTCATCATGAAGAAAAAGCGTATTTCACATCCATCTAAGATAAGCTCCAATGACGAACAACAACCACAATAATTACTGTGCGAATCGTGATCATCTTAGCCACTAGAGCAAAAGTCTCATCATAGTCAAGCCCATACTCTTGGGCAAATCCCTTGACCACTAATCTAGCCTTTGTACCTTTCCACAAAATCATCAGATTGAGTTTTGATTTTATAAACCCACTTACAATCAATAGGGTGTTTACTAGGAGGTAAAGACACCAACTCCCAAACTCAAGTTTTATGTAACGCAGAAAACTCCTCATCCATAGCCTGTTGCCAAAGAGGATCAAGTATAGCCTCCTTATAGGAGGTAGGTTTAGACAAAGAATGTATAGAAGTTAGAAAAGAACAAAAATCAGAAGAGTAACAAGAGTTGGACCAACCAAACTTGTTAGGACACTTCCGAGTACGCTGAGGGTAATGGGGAGTGTGATCCACGGTGTCAGAATTTGATTGGGAGCCAAAAGGTGTAGACGAAGACACAACATCTAGGTAGGAAACAATGAGAGTACTGCGAACATAAGTATGCACAATCGGGAGGTGGGTAACAGACAAATCAAGCAAAGAAGAAGAAGAAGAAAAGGAGGAAAGATCAGCCACAATCATATCACCAACATAAGAATCAGGAGAAACATTAGAGGGAAAGGTATTACGATAGATAATGTCAGATTTATGTAGAGATGAAGAACTAGATGGAATAGAGAAAAAATGAATATGCTCCATAAAAACACATATGATGAGAAACATAGAGTTTTTGTGTACTAGCATCATAACACCAAAATCTCTTTTGTCCTTCGTTGTAGCCAAGAAAAACACATAAGACTTAACGAGCCGAGATTTTGGTACGATTAACATTAGGTACCAGAATAAAACATGTATATCCAAACAAACCTAAGGAGAAATAGTCGAGTGTCTTACCACATAATTTTTCAAAAGGTGAGACACCAGAATTAAGGATTGTAGGAATACAATTAATCAGGTGAACTGCTGTAAGAACTGTTTATCCCCAAAAAGTGCTAAGGGCATTGGATGAAAATAACAAAGAACGAGTTGTCTCAATAATGTGACGATGTTTCCATTTAGCCACTCCATTCTGAGCAAGTGTGTCGGTACAAGAAGACTGAAAAATAGTACCATCAGATTTCAACAATTCACAAGAAGCACTAAAAGAATATTCTACACCTTGATCAC